TTCTGGGACTGTCCGTGTTACTGGTTTACCTTCCTAAGTTACTAACCACCATCATGTGGCACCTGTTAGGTTTTAAAGTCATATAACAAAGAGATATTCTGGGAACTTGCTTTTCAAGAGTCTGTAAATATTAACCTTTGTTTTCATTGAGAGAGAAAAACTTTCTAAGATAATAATGGATTGGATTTATAGAACGCTTTTCAAGGCACCCAAAGCGTTTATGCTGCTGGTATAAACTGACGTGAGCTCTTGACGGACTCAGAGTCTGCTATGGGAAAAAGTCATTCATGCACACATTTACAGTCATTACAGACTGCTGCCCATTTCAAAGGAGTTTAGAAATTAGACTGTATCATTGCATCTGAAACCTTCTGCAGAAAGCACCTGTCCTGTCTTATTGATAATGGTCATCTTTTTTTTATAAATGATTCTTAATAAATACTATTGCTTAATAAATTCCTTCAAAAATATACACTTATGAGCAAATAAACTACAAAGTACAGGAACACTTGCAATTAAACTCAATCAGCTAGTGAACATAACCATTTAGCTGTAGTCATAACTGCAACTCCAGCTAATGAAACTACAGAAACACCTGCAACTAAAGAGAAACTTCTGCAAACTCAATATTCATCAATTTGCAGTTAAACACAGCAACTAGAGCAACTAAACCAGTTGCTCCAATTACAGCAGCTGGACCAACAAGTAAATTAACAACTTGCAACTAAATGCTGCAACTACACCAAACGCTTTACCTACAACAGCGCGGAACGACACACCACAACTATTGCCACTAAGGCAACAACTAAAGCAACTTTGTTCACTGAAAGTTCTCTGAGACAAATGCAAACAAGTGTTCTTGGTTTTTATTTTATTTTATTTTACTTGCTGGTGTGTAATATCCCTTCAGACTCAGAGGTGCATGTTCATTGCATGCACCAGCTTCATTAGACTTTTCCAGACCCTGGTCTGGACCTGCGTGGTTCCAGTCATTCAGAGGGTTAGTGCAGGTCTCCACTCGGAATCCCTCCACTTTGTGGTCTGGAGGAGAAACGCGTTGCCACATGAGGGAGGGAACATTTGGTTTGAGATCAAAGTGTGGTTTGGGTGGGTGGGGTTAGAGTGGCGGTGGGCAAATGGAAGTTACCTCAGCACATGGCCTGTAATTGTGGGCTGGTGGATTCAGAGAAATGAGGCTGCGTGATGGTGTTTGGATGAAGCCACTGATGAGCTCTGGTTGAAGAAAGAGAAAAAACTTTGAGCTGCCCTTTAATTGGAAGTTTCTTTTTGTTAAACGCCGGAGATGGCGCGCTTAGTCATCATCGGTGAGAAAGTGATATAATCTGTCTGCTCAGCTCCAGCTCGCCTACATGACTCACTGTAAACTGCATATATCGTGTGTCTACTGCGTAAACTACAGCAGGAGGTTGACAGTGAGCTTGTGTAGGTGGTGGAATTGAACATGTGACTTTTAATAATAGAGATAAACGGTGGTGGCAGGAACAGGAGAGATCTACTTTAATGTAACGTTTCTATTTTGCTCAACCTCTGACACATAAAGACATTCTTGTGGAAACGCTTTGCATTTACTGTTCTGCAGGTTTCGAATGAATAACATGAACTTCACAATGAAAACAAATAAGACTGCAGAATTTGAATGAATTCCTAGAATCCTTTCATCTCTATAAACAGATGTATAAGCATATGAATGTGCAGGTGGACACGCACAGCACCAACAATCTTTCCAGTTTGTCTGCAGGCTTTGGTTGCAGGCAGGTTTGTGGAGACTGAAAAGAAGGAATTAACCTGCTGAGATTTTAACCAAAGGCAGAGAATTTCTAATATAATCGAGACATCTTTAGACATCAGTTTGACATCACAACAACACAGTGTCACACCTCACGAATCAAATCATGTTACAAAACATAACAAAAGAGCTCTAATAGATACTAACAGCCCTAATGATAAATGTCCTGGTATATTACACAAAATTAAGCATGAGTGGTGGACACTGAGATGCCCCTCTTATCACACTGTACTTTATTTTCTCTGTAGAGGATGTGAAGATAGTAAGTGTGTGCAGCATGTCAGGAATCATTTCCTCTGTTGTTTAGTGGTGCATTTGGGTAATCTTAGTCTCCAGTGACTGTCCAGCACGTCATTCACAGGAGCACACTGAGTTCAAGTGAACTCATCTATGAATTAAGTAAAGTCTTCTTAACAGAGCTGCAGAATCAATTAATAATAAAAAAAACATCTCCTGATGAGTTTTCTGCAGGATATTTGTAATTTATTAGCTATTCTCAGTCTGACCCAGCTGGACATTTGTCAAAGCTGGGAAGGCGCCTAAAGAAAGAAGGACAAGCTGCCAAAGTGAAAACCCGCAGTGATCCCGTACGTGTCAGGAGCATCACAACAGTTGAGACGCATTTCTTCTAAACTGCGCCAAAAATTGGTCCACCCCAAGGATCGGGTCCCCCGACACAAACAGAGTAACATAGTGTACGCTGCTAAGTGCCAGGATTTATACATCGGGGAAACCAAACAACCTCTGAAGAAGAGGATGGTACAACACAGAAGAGCCACCTCGTCAGGCCAGGACTCTGCAGTCTGTTCTACACCTACAGGCCAGTGGACACTCTTTCAAGGATTTAACATCCTGGACAGGGAGGAACGCTGGTTTGAGGGCGGAGTCAAGGAGGCCATTTACGTGAAAAGGGAAAGACCATCTCTGAATCGAGGAGGGGGCCTAAGGGTCATCTGTCACCATCTTACAATGCTGTGATTGCAGCCTTCCCCAACTCTCTGTGAATGGTACTCATGGTATTGATCAGTGGTCATGAGAATTTGCATATTAATGATCAAGGAACTGACCTCCCAGCCCATTGTTCCTTCAGTGGGCTGGTTTCAGTTATTGTGCAAATGTCCTGTTTATAAGGTTGAAACCTGCAGTCAGCTGAGACTGAAGAAGCCACTCGGATGACTGAAAACGCTACGTCCAGATGAACAGAATCAACCTTTTGGGACATCATAATCACTTCACTGTCTCGTCTTTGACAGTAATCCTTCTTAACATTAGTTCAAACAGTTCACCAAGAATCAGAATCAGATGTAAAAACTGAGAAACTGAAAATGTGCAGGCAGCAGTTGACATTTATGTATGAGTGTACACGTGAATTAAGGGTAAAACTCTGAGTGTTCTTGGTTGATAAATGAGGCCCCAGGTGTAGAGTTTGGACTGAAATAAAACCCCCTGATGAGGTTTTACTCAGCAGCCACTGGACCCCTACAGCTCCTTTGTGGGGCTCCAGATTTACTTTGTGCTAATTTCCATCCAAGCCACAAACTTTGTTGTGTGTTCAAACAGTTTTTCAGATCACAGGAAACTGGAGCATTTTCCTTATCAGCCTCTTTATGCATCAGCCTCTCATTTCTTCCCAGCAGCCCCTCCCCTGTCCTGCAGCTGGCTGAGGAAGGGTCGGCCTGAGTGAAGTCACACAGGATTTTAACAGGAGGATGCAAGATGGCGGGGAGCTGGGCAAGTGCTGGATGAGTCATCTGCAGCGGCGAAGTGATGAAAGGCTCAATAAGAGTCCGTTACAGAGCTTAGAGTCTCATCAAGGACTGGAGTCAGGGAGGATGCTTTTATTGTGGCGAGGTTAACCGCAGTGAGTGATTCCTGCCACGTGCTTCTCAAGTAAAGGCTGACACACTCACACATAGCTACACCTATCACTTACACAGACTAACAAAGCAATCAGAGCTGAATATAAGGACCTGGGCTCTTTAATGCTGTGGTGACAGAAATGCTCTGATCCTTCACTTCAGCCAAAGTATGAATATCAGTTAGATACAGAGTTAAAGAACAACAGAACATAGTTTATAGATCCACCATTTCTCATCTATATACCAGCAATGAAAGTTCTCCTGTTTCGAATTCAGTTGTTTCATATAAACTATGCACCAGTCTCAGGAGCTGGGCTCTTTATTCTGGGACTGTCCGTGTTACTGGTTTACCTTCCTAAGTTACTAACCACCATCATGTGGCACCTGTTAGGTTTTAAAGTCATATAACAAAGAGATATTCTGGGAACTTGCTTTTCAAGAGTCTGTAAATATTAACCTTTGTTTTCATTGAGAGAGAAAAACTTTCTAAATAATAATGGATTGGATTTATATAGCGCTTTTCAAGGCACCCAAAGCGCTTTACAATGCCACTATTCATTCACTCTCACATTCACACACTGGTGGAGGCAGCTACGGTTGTAGCCACAGCTGCCCTGGGGCAGACTGACAGAAGCGAGGCTGCCATATCGCGCCATCGGCCCCTCTGGCCAACACCAGTAGGGTAAAGTGTCTTGCCCAAGGACACAACGACCAGGACAGAGAGCCCGGGGATCGAACCGGCGACCTTCCGGTTACAGATACGCTTCCCAACCCCCTGAGCCACGGTCCCCATGATGCTGCTGCTGCTGCGCAGTGAGGCTCACAGGTGTGAGACAACAGCAAAATTTAATCACAGAGTAGAAATACATAACGCCAACAAAGATTTGAGCAGGATTTAAAGTCTGGTTGATGAGAGCTTTGTTCAGGTCAGAGGCTGAAGTGAGAAAAAGAAAGTGAACCTCGCTGAGGGGAAAACACTAACACCAGCAAACATGAGTTATTAAGTCGACTGTCAGTGTGATATAAACACACACACGCACAGCTAAGAAACACACGCTACACTTCAAAGAAAGAGGAAGCAGAAAAAACACGTGTTACAGCTTCTACATCTGGCTTCACTTTTCTTACAACCGAGTTTATTTCTTCTAAACCCTTTACACACGCACACACACTCACACACACACACACACTCACACACACACACACACACACACACACACACTCACACACACACACTCACACACACACACACACACACACACCACACTCACACACAGACACACACACGACACACACACACA